TGCATAGAGGAGCTGCAGGGAGGAGGGGGGTGTTCCCACGGGAGGAAATAGCCAAGACAAAAGTGTGGCAGTCAGATGAGTTGATATCCTAGATGAACTTGTATTTCTTTTGCCCACAGGGACCTGACAGTATCCAAGCCACTGAATGTGGAGCTGCCTCGGTCCATGGTTGAAGTTGTCACAAGCTGGAACCTGCCCATGTCTTATTGGCTAAATAACTGTGAGTCACCAAGTCACTACTCCAAGAGTGGGGAGTCCTCACCCCAGGCCTTTTCACATATCCATACAACATTTACTGAGAACCCATTGTGTGCTAAGCACTGCAGGTACTGCAGGGGCAAAAAAAAAAAAACCACAAAAACCCAAATTCCTGCCCTTGTGGAGCTGGCATTTGTGTGGGGGGAGCAGATAATAAGAGAAAAAAATACACAATAGTTCAAATGATGATAGGTGCGATGGTAAAAAAGTAATAATAATAAATCAGGAAAGGATGATCTGGGAGTGTTGGCAGTGGGAGGTTGCAATTTTAAATAAATTAGCCACAGCGAGTCCCATGGAGGAGGTGACATTTGAGCAAAGATCTAAAGAAGGTGAGAGAGCAAGCAGTGTGACTATGTGGTGGGGAGTGTAACAGATGGAGGGAACAGCCACTACAAAGGCTCTGAGGCAGGATTATGCCTGGCATGTTTGAGGAGACCAGTTCAGCAGGAGGAAAGAGAGTGAGGAGGCCAATAGCAGGAGGTGAGGTCAGAGAGGTGACAGGGGTCTGGTCCTGTAGGGCCTCACTGGCCACAGGGAGGACTTTGGCTTTTTCTCTGAGAGAGCTGGAGCTACAACAGGAGTCTGAGCAGAGGAGGGCTTTGGGCTGACTTGGGTTGTAATGGGACCCTCTGGCTACTGTGAGGACAGATAGGGAGGGGGTGAGAATCAGAGCAGTGAAGAGGACACTGCAGTAGTCCAGGCCAGTGATGATGGTTGCAGATGTGGAAACGAGAGGTCTGATTCTGGATAAATTCTGATGGTGAAACTGACAGGATTTGCTGAGTTTGGTCGTGGGAGTGAGGTTTTACCCTGAGGAACTGGAACAGTGGAGTTGACATTGGCAGAACTTTGGGAGGCTGTGGGAAAAACAGTTTGGGAGGAAAGTTCAACAGCTAAGTTTTAGACATATGAAGTGTGAGACCATTATAAAGACTTTGTGCTGGGGCTTCCAACATGTTACGTGCATCCTCACCCTGCCCTATGGCCCCCCAAGAAGGGCAGGAGGGAATCTTGGGAGACTCTTGACCCGCATCTCCCTCTTCCAGATGTTTTCAAGAATGCTCTCCGCCTGGGGACCTTCTCAGCCGTGCTGGTCACCTATGCAGCCAGTGCTCTCTTGCACGTGAGCAGGGTGAAGTGGGATCAGGGTGGAAGCTGGGCAGGGGTGGCAGGGCCTCTTCACTCACCTCATTGCCCCCTGGGGCCCCACCAGGGCTTCAGCTTCCACCTGGCTGCGGTGCTGCTATCCCTGGCATTTATCACTTATGTGGAGCACGGTGAGTACAGAGCCCAGCCTAACAGACAGGATGGAAGGTTGGTAGGGGGCTGGAACCTCTGTCCCCTGAGGCTAACCTGACTCCTTTCCCTCCCCCATCAACCCCAGTCCTCCGGAAGCGCCTGGCTCGGATCCTCAGTGCCTGCGTCTTGTCAAAACGGTGCCCACCAGACTGTTCACACCAGCATCGCTTGGTGAGAGTTCAGTCCAGGCAACCTCAAACCCAACACTCCCCCTCAAATATGTCACTTCTGTCTCCATTTATGTCTGTCTCAGGGTGCCCAGCTTCCTCTTCTGGTACCTGAGCCATCCCCAGAACCTCACCTCTATTCACTGCCATCCAACTCTCTAACAAACGTTTATCAAACACCTGCTGCATACACAGCAGGCATTCATGTCCCCAGTGAACACTTGTTGAACACCTACTGGTACCAGGCACGGTTTTAGGTGCTAGAGACACAGTGGTGAACAAAACAGACTACAAAGTTCTAGCCTTTGGGACAAACATTTTAACAGAGGACACAGTACATAAAAAATAAGTTAGTAAAGTAAAATAGTTTGCTAGACTGTGATTAGTGCCAAGGAGGAAATACATAGGGAAAGGAGAAGGGAAGTATCAGGCAGTAAGTGGATTCCATTTTAAATAGGGAGGTGCCTTTTGAGTTCTTTAACTGAGGGAGGTGAGGGACAGAAGCATTTCAGGCAAAGGGAAGAACCAGTGTAAAGGCCCTGAGATGGGAGAGGACCTGGAATATTTGAGGAACAGTGAGGAGGCCAGTGTGGCTTGAGCAAAGTGAGAGAGGGGAGAGTGGTGGGCCCTGTAGGACATGCTGGGGATTTGCTTTTGTTTTTCTGTTTTATTTTTTCATTCTGTTTGCAATAAGAAGTGTGGACAACCTCAGATTTGTCTACCATTCAACTGATGTTTATCACCATAAACCCAGAACTCAGAGCTCCACCATTCTGCCTCCTTTGTCTGAATACTCACATTTCCCCCAGCCTGGATGCCCTCAATGCTAACAGTACCCCGATCCCTGGATACCTCTTGAGCTCCCATAGGAAGATCTGAACCATCTCTTTCCTACCCCGGGGGTGCCACGGACATCCTCATTCCTGGAACCCACTGCACTTTGTACATCTCCCTGGGCTCCCCTGCCCAGGTGGGACTGAGAGACAGTGAGTAGGTCCAGCTGCCAAGCAAATCCATCTGTCCCCCACAGGGCCTGGGGGTACGAGCCTTAAACCTGCTCTTTGGGGCCCTGGCCATCTTCCACCTGGCCTACCTGGGTTCCCTGTTTGATGTCGATGTGGATGATACCACAGAAGAGCAGGTGAGGTGGGGCCCTGGGCTGGGGGTACCCAAGGATGTGCCACCTGCTGTTCATGGGAACCATGAGGACAAAGGGGGCCAGGGTGGCTGAGGTGTGAGGACCTTGTGCAGTGTCTCTCACTTGTGCAGCCACTGTTCCTTGGTCCTTCTTTCCTATTGTCTCTCTGGATGATTAGCACTGCTGGGTCTTTTATTTGGGTGAAGTGTACAAAATATGTTTATTTTACTTATAAAATTTATTTTATAGAGGTGGAATGCAAAATCCAGGTTTTACTTTTTTTCAATTAGTCATCATATTTTTGTTTAAGTAGAATCTACAAGCTTTCTTTCTCATTTAAATTTTTTAAAAAATATCTTTACTCAGGTTGAGTGTGCAAACTCTAGATTCTACTTTTAAAATGTATATTAAAATGGGTATGCTATTTTTATTCATGTGGAATAAGCACATTCCAGATTTTAGTCCTTTTAAAATGAAAAACAAATTTAAAAATAATGTCTATGCATATGGCTCTTGCAGGATCCAGGTTTTGCTTCTCTTTTAAATTTTTATTTTTAATTAAAAATAAAACTTTATTTTGTATTATTTTCATCATTAAAAACAATTTTTAATTTTTATTCAGGTTGAGTGTGCAAAATCTGGGTTTTGCTTCTTTTAAATAACTTTTTATCTTATTTTAATTAAAACATTTAAAAATAGTTAATGTATACCACAAGGTTCAAAATCCAAACAGTATTCAAGATATTCAGGGGAAAAGACTTGCTCCTCTGTCTACTCACTGACCTCTTACAGGTAACCACTTTCATTCATTTTATTAAAATATCTTTCAAAAATTTAAGCATAATAAGCAAATATAAAAATATATTTTAATCCCCCCCCAGTTTTTACCCTAAAAGTAACTCATGAATGATACTGTGTACTACATATTGCTTTTTTATATAATAATCCTTGAAAATCTTCCACATTAGTACAGAGTCCTCATTTTTTTCTATTGTAAGGATATGACACAGTGTAGTTTGTCCCTTATCGGTGGACACCCACATGATTTCCAGTTCTTTCCTATTGCAGATGACATTGCAGCAAGTAATATCCTTGTACCCATGTGGATTCACACAGGTGAAGACAGAACTGTAGGATCTATTCTTAGTAGTGGAAATGGAGAAGTTACCTTTTTGCCCCCCTACCAGCAGTGTGTGAACATGTCTGTCACCCCACCAACAGAGTGCCTCTCAGACTTCCTGGATGTGTTTGCCAGTTTGAGAGGAGAAAGATTATGAATGAGGCCATAAGTTTAAGTATTTCCTTTACTGAGAATGGCCTACTCACCTCCTTTGCCAATTTTTGTCTTTTTAAAATACTGATTTCTAAGAACTCTTTACATATAAGGGAGAGTACAGGTCAGAGAGTGGGGTTGTCTTGTCCTGTTTTTAAAATTATTTTTAAAAAAGAAAACATGAAAGAAAAAGAACTAAATCTGCTTACCTTTTATATGCACCCAGTCTCTTCTCTGGGGCCTCACCTAAGGTTACCATGGAGTCACAGATATGGTCTTGAGCAAAGGATGGGTTTTCCTGAGATCTTCTTTGTTCTTGCTGAGTGGGACCATCACCTCTTTCTCTCCCACAGGGCTATGGCATGGCATACACTGTCCACAAGTGGTCAGAGCTCAGCTGGGCCAGTCACTGGGTCACTTTTGGATGTTGGATCTTCTACCGTCTCATAGGCTGAGGCACATCTGTGGACCCTCCCAGCTCCCTCAAGACTCAAGACCCCTCCTCAGGGTGCCAGCTCTGATGGAGGATGAGGGAAGGCCTCTCTCTAATTCTTGACCCCTCTCCATCATAGCCCCCCCCAACACCCATACACACACACACACACACACACACACACACACCATTTTCATGCCTGCTGATCCCCACCCCACCACAAGGCAGGAAGGGGGTGATCCTTGCTGGGGCCTAGGAGTGGGGGATGCTTAGGGAAGCAGAGAGGGGGAGATCCACAGCCTTCCTGCCTTCCTACTCCCTTTTTATATAGTTTGTTATTGTCGAATAAAAGTAGGAAATATACAAAAGACTCTTTTTTCACTGCTCAGTGGGTCTGATACCAATTGGCTGGAAAACTGGGGGGTCCCCATTCTGATTGGTTGCTCTAACTGGGACAGAGAGAAGAGAAAGTAAGACAGTAGATGCTTAGTGGTCCTTAGGACTGAGGGTTGTGAGTTGTAAGTGGACAGGAGGTTTGGGATGGGTCTGAATTCTCACTGATTGTGGGGTCTGGGTGCCCGCTGGCTTAGAGTTGTGGAGTTCTGATTGGTTCTTTGGAGCTGGCATAGGGAGGTTGAGGATCTCCATGCCAACTGGCCCTCAAGGAGTTTTGATTGGTTTTTCTGACTTGAAGTCAGGAGAGGTGAGGATGACCGCTAAGGAGTCTAAGCGCTGAGGTAAAGGATGGAGACGTAGTGTACAGGCTGTGATCTGTCTTAGTATTGTTTCCTTGCCCATTCAGGCATTAAGAATGAAGGTTTTGTCTGGAAACTGATTAACTGGTCTGCTTAGAAAACGGGGGCAAAGATAAGAGGACGCTAAGCAACGCTGATTCAACAGCAGATGATAAGGATGACTACCCAATTTCTGAAAATGATTGACGGATAAGAGGTTAGGGAAATTCAAGCCAAGACTCGTTGCTGGTACCTTTTGGCAGAAAACGCCCACCCACTTCGGCACACCCCGCCGCCTTCACCCACCTCCAGATTCTGGCTCAGTCAACAATGAAAATGGCACCACACGTAAGGGCGGGGCCGGCGGCACACAGAAAGCTCCTATTGGTTGAGAGCGGCACTGGCCACCTCCCCAGCCCCTCCATTGGCCAACTCCATAAGACAAGGAACCTGTGAGGAAATGGGTCTGAACTAGGGCTGTGACAGAGCCCACAGGACAGCCTTAAGAAAGCCCGGACCGTGCAGGAGAGGTCGCTGGACAGCGCCGCTGAGTGAGTGCCCCCTCCGCCTCGCCTGCCACTCCATCCCCTACCTCTCCACAGGTAAACGGCCGGCCACAGGCGCGCCTGCAGGAGACCCTTCCCCCTCCAGCCCGCCACCTTTCCACCCAACCCCACGCGCCTGCGCGAGACCCCCTGGCTACCGCGTGGTCCTCCGGAGCACAGAAGATCCTCCTTCTCATTGGGCAGCTGGACTAGAGGGTTCTAGTTCTGATTGGTGGTCTCCGTATTTAACCCTCCTTTTCTTCTTTAAGCACCGCGCGGTAGACCTGTGCCTTCCGCTTTCCTATTTCTTGCAGGTTGCTGATGGTGTGCCGTGTTGCGGGAAGCACTTGGCTTTCCACACACTGAACCTGAGGATTGTAGTTCTCATTAGTCTTCTCTCTTCTGTCCTGCAGTTTCCAGGACTGCAGAGAGGGACTTGCTCTCCGCTGAACGATGCAGGACAACTGACTCCTGCAATGGGACCCAACCAGTTGTCTGTGTCTCCCAGCAGCCTGTGACCCCTGAGGGCATGGACCAGGCCTAGTTCCTGTGTCTACCCTTACCAGGGTGTGACCTGTGAGGGCTGTGACCTATTCCGATTCTTTGCCCACCAGACTGTGACCAATGAGGGCAGGGACCGGTCCTGGTTCTTGTATTCCTAAGGTGACTCTGACCCTGAGGGCAGGGAGCTGGTCTGGTTACCACATCTATTCCTAAGGTGACTCTGACCCTGAGGGCAGGGAGCTGGTCTGGTTACCACATCGTATGGTTCACAGAGGGCTGGAACAAGCTTTCAGCCTTTCTGTGGCCTTAAAACAGCATATAATTAGATCTTGTTTTTAGTCCAGTTTTATAAGTGCATTTACATTTCTTATGATAATAAACCATTTGGATTTGATTTTATGATCTCATTCTGTGCTTTCTATTTGTTCAGGTTTTTCGTTTCCTTCTTTCTACTTATCCACACACAGCTATCAGCCTACAAAGACATGGCAACCAGTGCTAGCCCCTTGCACCCATACTGGCCTCGGCACCTGAGACTGGACAACTTTGTGCCTAATGACTACCCTACCTGGCATATACTAGCTGGCCTCTTCTCTGTCTCTGGGGTCTTAGTTGTGACCACATGGCTGTTGTCAGGACGTGCTGCCACCATCCCACTGGGGACCTGGCGACGACTGTCCCTATGCTGGTTTGCAGTGTGTGGGTTCATCCACCTGGTGATTGAGGGCTGGTTCAGCCTGTACCACGAGGACCTTCTTGGAGACCAAGCCTTCTTGTCCCAACTCTGTGAGTCCTTAGTTCTTTCATGTGCTGTGGGAGGGAATTTTTCCTGCAAGGATTGGCTTAAATGTTTACCCACCTAACAACTTTTCTTCTATTAATTTATTTAAAATTTTTATTTAACTTTTTTGTCACATATATATTCACATGGTTCAAAAAACAAACCATTTAAAGAAGTATGCAGTGACAATCTACCTTCTGTCCACCAAGTTTTCCCAGTTATTAGCCACTGTTAATAATTGTTTGTTTTATTCCAGGGTTTATTCATACATAAATTACACACAGAAGCCTCAGTTTGCTCAGTTGTAAAAGAGGGGTAATAATATTACCCAAATATGTGTAAGGCACTTAGAACAGTGTTTGCCAAACAGTAGATGCCATGTAACTATTATTATTATTATTATTATTTGGCAGACAATAGATGCTATATAACTGTTTATTATCATCATCATCATTTTTATTTTTCCCTTTTATGTAAACAAATGGTAACATGCTATATACACTTCTGAACTTTGCTTTTTTAAACCAAGTCACTCCTCATCAGTTCATAAAGAGCTTTCAAAGCATAGATGTTACAGAATTATTTGACTTGTCTAGCATCGGTGTGCATTTCCCCCAGTCTTTTGCTGTTATAACCAATACTCCTTTTTGTCCTCATGAATAAAGCTGCTGTGAACATTGTTATAAGTCTTTGTGTGGAGATCTGCTTTCATTTCTCTTGGGTAAATATGGAGGAGTGGCTGGGTTGTATGGTAGATATGTGTTTAACTTTATAAACTGCCAAACTTTTCAAAAATGGCTGCACCGTTTAATATTCCCACCAGCAGTATATGAGAGTTGTATATCCTCATTGACACTTGATATGGTCAGGTGTTTCTTAAATTGCAGTCCATCTAGTGGATGTGAGTGATATCTCATTGTGGGATTTTAATTTGCTTTTACTTAATGATTAAAGAAAGTTTAAGCACCTTTCATCTGTGTATTGACCATTTGGAAATCCTCTTTAGTGAAGAACCTACTCCATTCTCCTGCCTGTTTTTATATTATGTGATCTGCATTTTTCTTATTGATTCTCTGCTGGTGCTTTCATTCATTCATCTATTCACTTTCATTCTCTCTCTCAGTCCCTCCCTACCCCCTCTCTTTCTCTCTCTCTTTCCCTCTATCATTGGCTACTTAATTCACTCCATCATCTATACCTGCCTGCTTTTTTTGTTGTTGTTAATCCTCATCCAAGGATATTTTTTCTGTTGATTTTTAGAGAGAGTGGAAGGGAGGACAGGAGGGGGAGAGAGAGAGAAACAATGATGTGAGAGAGACACATCAGTTGGTTGCCTTCCGAACAAGCTCTGACCAGGGCAGGGGAGATCAAACCTGCAACCCAGGTACGTGCCCTTGACCGGGAATCAAACCCAAGACCCTTTGGTGTGCGGGCCGATGCTCTAAACCCTGAGCAACACAGGCCAGGCAATACCTGCCTCCTTTTATTCTATAGATAATTATTGAATACCAGATAATTATAGCAACACTTACTGTTCTATGTCAGGTTTGCACACATATCTTATATACATATATTAACTCTAAAATCCAAATAGCTGCCCCATTTCAGATGAAGAAATGGAGGCATGGAGAGGTTATAAAGCCTGCCTTATTAGATGGGCCCTCAGCTCTCACAAGTCTGAGTTCCTTTTTCTGCCTTTATTCTTCATGTGTGTCTCTTGTCTTCTTCAGGGAAAGAGTATGCCAAGGGAGACAGCCGATACATCCTGTAAGTATTTGCCTCTGTCAAAGGAGACCTGAATTGGTTTGGGGGAGGGGTGAGTCAGGGAACACTAATGGGGTGCCCTATAGTTAGAGCACAGTGCTGCCAGTGTCACCCCATCCTTTCTCCTGCAGGAATGACAACTTCATGATATGTATGGAGACTATGACGGCCTTCTTGTGGGGACCACTCAGCATTTGGGTGGTGGTTGCCTTTCTCCGCCAGCAGCCTCTTCGCTTTGTCCTACAGCTTGTGGTCTCTGTGGGTGAGTAGAGGGCCTATACTGGGTGCTGGAGGGATTATCGGGGATGTACAGATCCGATAAGGCGCATCCGTGTGGGTGGGATCTCTCAATTGTGCCCGTCCAGGGCTGAGTCAGACTGAATGACAAACTCCCTAAGGTTTTAGAACAGCCATGCCCCTCTCAGCCTGTGTTCTCAAGTGGGAAGTGTTCATTTCTCCTCCTCCATCACAGTCTCTTATGAAAGTTACATGAGGTGGCCTATGCTGGCAGGAAGCCCTTGAGTCCTGTAGGCTCAGGATTTTGAGCCTCTTTCATCTGAGATTCAGTCCTCTTGTGTTCTTACGTTGTTAGCTTTCTTTAGTTCTAGAACTGTGAGTTCTCTTTAGTCCTGGAATCCTCAGCTGTCTTGAATGAAAGGATTTTGAGCTTCCTTAAATTCTGGAGATACGTTTTTAAAGTCTTCTTTCATCTATTGGTCCACCCTCAATCTCTGTTTTCTTTTTTTTATTATTATTGTTCAAAATATTACTGATATCCCTCAGTAAAAAAACCTTAACTTAAAATGATATGAGGACAGAAATAAGTAAACAAGCAAACAAAAAAGAAACAATCAGGAATATTGTTGGATATTTAGAAATATTAAGTAAATACTATTAATTTATTTTAGGTATGATAAGAATATTTGATAATTTCTGTTAATATTTTAGGTGTAATAATGGTATTTCATAATATTAAGGAATTACTATTAAAGATTTTGTGGGTGTGCTAAAAAAAAATTCTGGAGATATGAACTCTCCTGGGTTCTGAAATTCTCAGCTTCCAGTTTCTGGAATTCTCACTTTTCTGATTTTTCAACTTTTCAGCTATATAATCTTAGCTCTCTGAATTCTTAGCTCTCTGAATTTGGGAATCCTAAGTGCTGAGACCTCAAATGATGACTTGGAAAATGCCTTGGAATAGCTCCTCCTCCTCATAAAGTTTCCTCATTTCCCTTCCACCTCCCACAGGTCAGATCTATGGGGATGTGCTATACTTCCTGACTGAGTACCGTGATGGATTCCAGCATGGGGAGCTGGGCCACCCGCTCTACTTCTGGTTTTATTTTGTCTTCATGAATGCCCTGTGGCTGGTGCTGCCCGGAATCCTTGTGCTCGATTCTGTGAAGCAGTTCACCCGTGCCCAGAGACTGCTGGACGCCAAAGCTACAAAAGCCAAGAGCAAGCAGAACTGATAAGTGATGGACTGCGCTTGAACACTGGCTGATGATGAACTCTCAACCTGCCAGAATAGTCCAATCCTTGCTCCCACAGGTTGAAAGGACAAAGCAAATCGATCTGTCATACTCAGGCTGATGGGTGGGCACCAAAAGGGCCAGCAACAGGGAAGAAAGGAGCTGTGTGGAGCCACTGCCAGGAGCTGTTGAGACAAAAGTCCAAGAGAACCTAGGAGGTCTGCAGTGATGGTAATTTTTAAAACCATGAAATAAAATGTCTTGACCCTAACACTGAGAGATCTTTAATTACTGACCCCAAAGACACCTCTATCACTCACTCATTCCACAGACCACCATTATCTCAGCCATAGATTCCCATCCTTATCACATACACCTCACAAACCCCCATCACTAACCCCAGAGATTCCCATGGTAGCTGATTAGATTCATGAGTCACACACCTGCAATCTCTTTTAAGGACTGATCTTCTACCCATACCCTTGGTGTTCTCTCCAGAACACACTTTCTCATTTTTTTGCAATAGGGACAGGCTGAGAATTTTCCGAACCTTCAAGTTCTTAAATTTACTCAATCTCTTGTCTCCTGATTAGGCACCCCACAGATACCCTCACCTCAAAGACCCCCAAGTACTCCAAAAAAACCCATCACTGACCCCACAGACTCACCCATCACTACCCTAAGGATTCCCATCATTTACCCCAGAGACCCCACAAAACTCACCCCCACAGACCCTCCCATCACTCACCCCATATACCCCATCATTAACCTTTAAGATACCTATCACTCTCTCCACAACAGCCTTTCATTTGCCCTCTAGACTACCCATCATTCACCTCACAGACCTCTATCACTCACACCACAGACCCTATCACTTGCCTAACAGACCTCCCATCATGTACCTGACAATTCCATGACTCACCCTATAGACTCCCCCCATCATGTATCACAGATCCCTATCATTTACCCTATCGGCCTCTCATCACACCCTACAGATGCCCCATCATCCACTCTTTAAACTCCCCATAACTCACCTTGCAGAATTCATCATCATTCATCTCACAGTCTTTGTCATTAACCTCAGAGACCTTCAGTCATAAAACAAATGGGTACTTGAGGAATTTTGAGGAGGTGACAAAGAATGAATAATAAAATTACAGATACCTTTACCCTGGCTCCAGGTGTCCTGTACAGAGCAGGACTTCAGTTCCAATCTTGGTTCTGCTTGAGCCTGCAATATAGCTTTTGAGAAATGCTTCACGTTTAAGGTCAAAGCTGTGAGTTACTTCCTCATCTCATATCCATCACTTACCTCGTAATTACTTAAGGCATGCTGGCCTTCTTTCTCTTCCTCAAACACACCAGGCATAGCCCTACCTTCCATCCATTGCACTGTCTACTCTCTGTGTCACTTACTATCCCCTTGACCTTGAGGATGTTTCTTCCTGACCTTCAGTGCTCATCTGTAAAATGCTAGTAATACCTTGTAGGGTTTTATGCAGGTTAAATGAATTAAAATATGTAGATGGTCTGGCATACAATTTGTATTTGTTGAATGGAAGAATAAATAAATGAGAGAGAGTTCTCTCCAGGACCATGGTAAGGACCTCCTTTTTTTTTTCTTTAATATATCTTTATTGATTTCAGAGAGAGGAAGGGAGAGGGAGAGAGAGAGAAACATCAATGATGAGGGAGTCGTCATTGATCAGCTGCCTCCTGTACGCCTCCGACTAGGGATCAAGCCCACAACCTGAGCATGTGCCCTGACCAGGAACTAAACCTCAATCTCCTGGATCCTAGGTTGATGCTCAATGGCTGAGCCATGCCCGGCCGGACAGGACCTCCTTTTTTATTTTGTTTCCATTATCTTTCCATCCAAGGCTCTCTCCACAACCAAGACAGAGGCTTCTGACCATATCATACCCACATCTAAAACCTGTGCTTCAGTGCCCTCAGGATAAACTCCAAGCTCCAGGCTAATGTTTTGCTCATACCACCCTATGATAATTTTAATGAAAAGCAGACTCTCAAACTCCTTGTTTCCATAAAAAATAAAGCAGTGCTGTAAGAAATATTTTTGATTCCAGCACATGGGGCAAAAGAAATGTGCCAATAACCCTCTTCCGGCTTTCAAAAAATTCCCCATTATTTATACATTCCAGAAAATAGATGTCAATATTAATACCAAGGCAACAAATTATTTTAAAAGATACCAAAATAGAATTGCAGTCTTCTTTATAAAAAGTTAATGTTAAGGGTAGCAGCCATACAATACCAACAATAGCTGAAGTACAGGCATCTTACAGGACTCCTTTATTAGAAATTACATTTGAAGAAAAAGAAAAAATAATAAATACGAAAAAATACAACACACACACAAAAATTGAATTTGCAAGAGCAGACTGTATTTTGCCCAAACCATATGGATGTGCAATGAAGTGAGGAGAATGCCCTTTTGCATTTTTCCATACATAAAGTTTCTCAAAGGAATCAGATATGTTCAATTGTTAGCTGATATTTAGTGGACACGCACCATTTAATAACAGGATCGACCTCAGCATGCTGTCCTTGAGGATTAAATAAAATGAAAGCGAACTAAAAACTAAGACCTCCAGAAAGCATAAAAATGGCTTTTTTGGAGAACAAATTACAAAAATTTAAAATGTACAGCTCCATGAATTTTCACAATGTGTAAACTATTTTTTAAAAAGATTCTGGAAAAAGGGTTATTTTTCCATTCAGCGGATTCATTTGAAGAGAGGGCCACAGCATCTGAAAGAGATGACATCATCTGTAAGCTGAGGCAAAAGGCTACTTGGAGTAGGCTGTGGGGGGCCTTGACGTCATCGCTCAGCAGCTTCCTTTCTCCGCCCACTTCCCTTTGGAATGGGTCATCACTTTAACACTAACTAGGTGAATCCGGAAGTAAACTATACAAACAGCCAAACCACGGACAAGGGGAGGCGGGACCTCAGTAGGCGCCTGCGCACTGGCTGAAGTGAGGCAAAATGCCCGGCGCTGGAGGGCGGGGCTCCTGGCAACAGTATTCTGTGCGCACGCGCAGAAGCAACCTCCACTCAGCCAGGTGTGTGTGTGGTGGGGGGGGTGCTAGGGTCGCTCAACGCCTTCTGCGCCTGCGCCCGGGCGCAAGGTGGGGCTGCGGGCGCCGGCACTCTGGAGTACAAGCAGGGGTAGTGGGGCAACCGTCACCCGTCACCCTAAGGAGGGTGGCGGCAGGATGGCGACGGCCTCTGGGTCCTCGGATTTGGCCGGCTCCGGAGCGCCCCCGTCTGGCGGGGGAGTCCAAGCGGCGGCGGCGGCTGAGGAGGAGGAGCGAGAGGTGGTACGGGTCCGAGTCAAGGTGAGGTTGGCAGCCGTTCAACTAGCCTGCCCGAGCCTCCCAAGGGAGGAGAAGGCAGTGGCTGTCATAGGGTGGAGGGCGGGACCTGAGATTTGAGACGTTACCTGAGGGGCGAGGCTGGAGGGCCTAGTGATGGTGGCAAGGGGTGGAGTAGGCTGGACCTGGGAATGCGGGGACAGGGCTGGAAGGCGTGGAGACTAAAACTGGGTGTGCGGAGATTTCGGTAGAGAAGAGGGGCTATAGGGATGGAGGAGGAGCCTTAGTAGTTGAGGAGTGGGGCCCAGAGGAATGGGGTGGGTGTCGCTGTCAGAAAAGGAGGCGCCGAAGTCAGTTAACATATGTGTTGAGTGCACTTTTGTGCAAGTCGCCACCTGGTGAGGGAGACAAACAGCTAAATAAATGAGATGCTTCGGACAGTGGTGAATGTCATGAGGAAATAATGAAAAAGGTTCTCAACTAGGGTGTTACTTTAGCCAAGGTTGTACAGGGAGATCCCCAGAGAGGTAATGAAGGAGCCGAGACTCGAATTAAAAGGAGTCAGCATGTGCCTACCAGGGGGAATGAGTGTTCTAGGCAGAGGGAACAGCAAGGGCAAAGGCTGGGAGGTGTGGATGAGCTTGGCATGTGCCCCTAGGTTCCGATATTCCTGGATCCAAGAGAGTGAGGGGAAGACTGGATGAAGGTGAATCAGAGAAGTGAGAGAGGGGCAGATTGTGAAGGCCCTTTGGTGTGTACTCTGAGTAAGAAAGCTGTTGCACTAGTTCCAGCAAGCAGTAATGGTGGCTCAGACTAGGGTGGTGGCATTGGTGGTGCTGAGAAGACGGTAGATTCTGGAGAGAAGGAAATGGATCACTTAAATATACTAGAGGAAGCTCTAAGGTAGAGGTTTGGGAATTAAGAAAAGAGATGATACCTGAGCTGTGAGTGAACCACTTGAAGAAAGTGGGAAGGACCTTCCAGACAGGGGGATCAGCAGAAGCAAAAGGCCTGAAGCCAGAATGTGTTCAAAGTAACTTACAGCAGTTTGGTAGTACCAGAGTGTGAAGTTCAAAAAAACTGCTGGGAGAGAGGCTGGCTGGGTCCTACAGGCCCACCTGTTGGGGACCCTTTGAAGATATTTAAGCAGGGGAGCATTGTAGCTTGATGTGCTAGATTGGTTGCAGCATGGAGGACTGATTTAATAGAGGCCAGACTGTACGTGGTGATCCTGGCAACCATCATTGATGGGTTATAGAGGGAGGATTGGGTGCCTGGACTATTGCAGTAGCCTCCTCCTCACTAGACCTCTGCTTTCTCCCTTGCCCCCCACAGTCTGTTCTAAGGAGAGCAGCCAGAAGGATCCTGTAAATCTTAAGTCAGACCACATCCTTCCTCTGCTCAGAACCCTCCCACGCTCCTGCCTCACTCAAATAAAAAAACAATGTCCTCACCATCGTTCAGAACACCCACCTTGATCTGGCCACCACCGCTTCTCTGACCTTGCCTCCTACTGCTCACTCTTCAGCATGGTGATATGGCCCCTGATAACCTACTCTGTGTCTTCTCTCCCCAGAAATGTGAGAGCTTCTTGCCACCTGAATTCCGCTCTTTTGCCGTTGACCCCCAGATCACCTCACTTGATGTGTTGCAGCACATTCTCATCCGAGCATTTGACTTGAATGGGTGAGTAAGGGGATGCTGGTGACTGACCATTGGACTACCCACCTCAACAGTGATTGTTTGGCTTTTTTATTGTTGTTTGGTAGGTTATTTGTTTGTTTTATTATTATAAGTAATCCCACAGTGAACAGCCACATATGCATATCTTGGAGTATTTGAGGAAATCTAGTCATAGGATAAATTCCTAGCACTGGTATTGCTGGATTAAAGGGTGTATGCTTTTAAAATTTTCAATGGGTGGTTCCAAAATT